CTTAGCGGGAACCGAACCCGGGTCTCTCCGGACCGCAGGCAGACGCTCTAACCGCTGAGCCAAACCGGCCAGGGCGGAGCCTCATTCTTGAATGAAGATATTGTCTAGATTTTTTTTAATTGGCAGAAACATATTCACAGAAAATCTTATTGGCAAGTACAAAATGCCAATATATCAAACAGATAGAAGTTGAACTGCTCAGTTTGAAACAATGTTGGGTGGTGTGTGGACAGGGGCAGGGTGGAACTCTGCCCGTTTCTCTCTTACCACTAAAGGTGGTCCGTGAGGCTTCCCCACTGAGCCTTGGGGCTACAGCAGTAGAGTTAAAAATTACTGAAATAAGATATTACATTTATTTGAATTCTATTCGTAGTAAAAAAAAAAAAAAAAAAAGTCTATTCTACAACCAGAAAATGAAGCCACCCTTTTTCACCCACCACCTGACCTGAGAGTACCCCATTGTGTAAATTGTTGTGAAAGACATTTTTCAAAAGGGCAACTCAAATGTTCCAGGAGCTTTTAAGGTCCCCATAAGCAGCATTGCTAATTATTCACTAATATGTAAAACCTTGTAGGTAAATAAGATCACTAGATAGGAGAAAATAATAGTGAAACCCCTACCAATATTTTCTCTGGCTCCAACAAACACTGTTAAAATAGATTTTAAGGAAGTGGAAAGTCAACATCTACTTGTTAGTGATGCCTCTAAGAGAGAGCAGAGGGATTGAATAAGAACCCCAAATTACTAGATTCCTCTGAAGTCACCAAACTACCCCAACCCACATGATTTCTGGGGTACATATGCAAACAGCATCTCCAAATACAGTATAACTTTATTCCTGGCCTAGGATTAGTCCCAAATTCCTGTATAAACTTACCTTGGTAAATGGGGTTAGATAATGCATAGATCTGGAGACACCTACCACCCTGTTTGCCAAGGCCTGAGTGGCAGGGTCTGCTCTGGCTCACTGTCCGTGAGGTTGTACCCAGGTTCGAACTGGTCTGGCAAGGAAGACCATGGTAAACACAATTCCAAAGGGCTAACAACACCTACCTTAACCCACCATCTAAATAGTGTAAAAAAGAAAAATTGAAATACAATTCTCTCCTCTTCTTGTCTTCCGCCAACAACTGTGGTTTTACTTGACTTATATTTCTCTTCCACCACTATTCTGTTTTCTTCAAAATTTCCGAGACCCTCTCCTCGCCTGGTTCCTCAGGAGTGAAGGGCTGAAGAGGATGTGGTCTTAGGTGCTTGAATTGTTCAGGTGTTTGGCCTACATTCCTTCATATCTCTTTAATTTTTTAAAAAAGTTTTCTTTTGGACTTAGCATTTAAACTTATTTACCATCTGGGATATTGCTGTTCATGTCAAGGGAGGAAATCAAGAGAATGTAAGCAAAACTTTAAGCAGCTCCTTTCCCCAGTCTTGCAGTGCTTTGATACAGCTCCCCAGGACAATCGGTTGAACATTTATACTCCTCCCAATCTTCCTTGGAGTGGTTCTTCAATATTACTGCAGAAGTCAGTTAAATGAATCAGGACATTAATTTAGTTAATTTATCCCAGACTACCCATGTTGTCATTGGGACAAAATTTCTATGGGATACTAGTCCATAAAGTGATCCCTGAAAATGAAGATTCTTGGGAAATTACTTTAGAAAATACTACCCCCTAGAGTTTTACAATGCACAATAACTTTTTTTAATCTTAGTAATCATAACACAGACATTTATTTGATTTTAAAGTCTATGCAGCTTCAAATAATTTGACTATAAAAACATATTTTTGAAAACATAAAACCAGCCCTGGCTGGTTTGGCTCAGCAGTAAGAGTGTCGGCCCATGGACCAAAGAGTCACGGGTTCAATTCCAGTCAAGGGCATGTACCTCTGTTGCAGTTTCATCCCCGGCCCTGGTCGTGGTCATGTGGGAGGCAACCAGTCATGTATCTTTCTCACATTGATGTTTCTCTCTCTCTCCCCACTCCCACTCTATCTGAAGATAAAAATGGAAAAATATCCTTGGGTGAGGAATTTTTAAAAAAATATATACAGTCAAATAACATACCTTAGTACTAGTATTCTCACACCTTAAATTTCTAATATAATTAGTGTTCACACTTTTTGTTTCCTCCCCAAAATTTAGTATCCCAAAATATACATGATGACTCCCGTATTAATATTTCAAGACGATTATAAAACAGTCACCAGCTCTCGCACTCATTCTGCTCAGTCTAGTCAGTGGTTCTCACATAAGGGTGTGGGTGGAACTAAGGTCTTCCTCTACACTTACACTCTGGTATTGGTGTGTCTTTCTCAAATATCTTGTGTTAGAGTTTTCTTATTCCAATTCAAATATGGATTAAAAATTATTATATTTTGTCTTTCTTGCATCCCACTTAAAACAAAGTTCTAAGAATTAAGACATCATGAGTTTCAAAAACAAAAATTCTAAAAGTAAAGCCAATATTATTTTGATGTTGCAATATAAATTAATATTTCTCCACTAAAATAAAGTTCATCAACCCTTTACATATGTTATTACCTACACTTACAGTGCAATGTGAACCTATAGAGTCTACAGTATAGACCAAAGCGGATACATAGTGCTATTTGGGGGAAATGGCCAAACAGAAAAACAGAAAGAGAGCAAACCTGTAAGTTTAGAGAACAGCTTTAAGACTGGTTTCCTTTTTAGTCTGAGGTGGCAGTCACTTTTTGGCAGGAGTCCAGAATTTACTATGTGTGAACCCCAAATGCAATTAGGACATTTTCCCAACAAGATGTTAATACAAGACTACGAGTCTCATACATTAATAAATGTCAGTCATCGATTTTTTTCCCTCTCCTGAGACCAGGATTTGAAACAATTCATTATATTAGTAAAATTTGAGAATTACAGCTCTGGCAGCATTTGTCTCGGCATCTTTTATTCTATTCATTTTAAGTCCACCGTGGATATTTTTTTTTTTTAAATTATTTATTTATTTATTTTTGTTACAGATGTTTCTCCTTTTTCCCCCATTGACACCCTCCTCCCTCTCCCTCCTCGCCCTCTCCCCAGCTTTGTTGTCCCCACCATAGATATTTAAAAATATGTTTATTTCTTCAAAGCATTCAATGTTTCTTCCATTGCCTAATTGGCACTGTGTAATTGACAACCTGTTGTGAGTTGAGTGTAAACTCTAATTTCACTCTCGTTTGGAAGTATATTCCACATTAATAGTAGGCGATTCTCTGAGCAAAATCTTTGGCGGTGCATCCCCAGCTCTTCCATCATCCTACTCTCTTATTAGTAATTTTCTAGTCTCACAGTGCCCCACATCTTTCTTAGCTACATATTCTCTTTCCATCAATGATTGTTGAGTCTGCTTTATATTACAAAATTCTTCAGGCCATCAGGGTAGCTATTACATGTTTTCCAATACTAGCTCAACAGAAGAATTCTTCTCCCAAGATTTCTGAAGAGACTCTTCAGTTCTGCTGTTTTCCAAGCATTTTCTAAAAATTCTCGTAAGACGCAAAATCTTTACCACCGCATGTACCTCCATCCTCAAGTGTTGAGTTTCTGCACCTTGAGTGACCTTCCCACTTCCAAACTATCACAGACATCAGTTTCGCCTTCATGCTACAATAAGACTTTTCTTTACTCCCTCAAGTATTTCCCTCTCAGATTAATACTTCAAGATGCCTATGAAGTTTATGCCCACTTCCACTTATTCTTTCTCATGTGCAGTGTTAATGGAGTGCTTATGTTTGAATTTATTTCACTTTTGTTTGCATGCTAATTCCTGAAGGCATTTTGTTTGAAGACATATTTCCCCACTGTTTATGAGGTCTTCTTGCAAACTATTAATTTCTCTAGGATAAATCTCCCAACTGCACTGAGAATTTTCATTACATGATAAACATCTGTTGTTATAGAATGCAAACTGATTGACCCTCTGGAAGGCACCAGCAATCCTGGGTTTCAGCCAACTCTGACAAATCTATTAAATTGCTTTTCCCTCCCCCCATCTCTGGCCAACATCCTATCTAGCTAAAACTAAGTGTGCATTAACCAGCATGCCGGCCTTTGCTTTACTAACTAAATGTTTCCCATACTATACTTTGAAAAGACTGAAGGGCATCCATCATTTTTTTAAAATAATATTTATGCAAATATAGGTTTTTCAAGTAAATTTATTCCAATGATATTTTTGAAAGCTTGGCTTATCTTTGTTAATTTTCTTTTTGAAAAAATGAACAAAGTTTTGCCCTGGCTAGTGTTGCTCAGTCACTGAAGGGTCACTGGTTTGATTCCTGGTCAAGGACACATACCTGGGTTACAGGTTTGATCCCCAGCCCCCATCCAGGTGTGTGCAGAAGGCAATCAATTGATATGTCTCTCTCACATTGATATCTCTCTCTTTCTCTCTCCCTCCCTTCCACTCTCCCTGAAAATCAATGGAAAGAGTATCCATTAAACAACGTTTAATTAATGTTTCATTCTATTGACTTCCTGTTATCCCTCTCCTCCTGGCTATTTCACCTATCTGAAAATTGTTTCCCAGTTAGCATGAGAACCATGATACCATCTTCAACGATTACCATTTTCTTACCATTATCTAGGGTAGTTGAGTGATTAACTTTTGCATCAGAAACACTTGGATTTACTGGCTCTCTCCTGCTACAAGTTATGTGACAGTGGGGAAATTATTTAACTTTTCTGAGTCTTATATATAAAATTATTATCATAATTATTATCTCACTTATAATAATTAAATGAAATAACCTATTGCAAGCATATAGGAGAGTCTTCTGTGCCTCTTAGTTTCTTTAATGTAATTAACTGGATCACCAAATGGTAGGTATCAAAATGTTGAATTTCTGAATCTTGATGAGAAGACTTTCAGTAACCAATCCTAAAGTGGTAACTGGATGCTAATATAAATACTAATGAGACTATCTGGTGATTGGTTATACCTCTGATTGCTGTTGATCCTTTTTACATAAATAGAAGCCACAACCAGTGGTGTGACGACGGAAGAGTTGACCACCACGAGTACACCAGTGACAGATCTTCTACTTCCAAATGCTGTTTCAACGTTCCAAAGTCCACAACACAAGAGTAAGTGTAAGAATTTATGCTGAAATGTTAAACTAGTGTGTTAACTAGATTTAGATTCAGAATGTTTTCTAGACCACTGCTACCAAAGAACCATGCCCCACCTATATTTTCTCCTAGTCTCTACCAAATGAAACATTATTTCGCAACTTTGCTTTGTATAATCACAAATGGTTGGGTGCCAATGAAGATCAATTCAATAGTGGGCAGTCATGTATTATATCATCTGGCACAAAAATGTGAGCGTGGCCAGCAAATTAGATACATTTGATAAGATGGGAAAACTCTTAGAAAGAAACAAATTGATAAACTTGACTCAAGAAGATAGGAAGTCTGAAAAGACCTAAACAATTACAGAAAAATCTCTAGAAATTTAAAATGGTCCATGAAGAAAACTCCATGTAGGTGGCTTCATTTGTGAATTCTGTGAAATATTTCCAAAAGAAATTATAACAATTCTCAAATTCTTTCAGGAAGAGGAAGAGGGAACAGTACACAGGTAATTATCTGAGTCTAATATTATCCTAATACCAACTAGAAAAGAATAAAATGAAAAAACAAGTCAAGAAAACTATAGACCAAACCCCTCATATATATAGATATAAATATCCTTAATAAATTTTAGCAAAGCAAATTCGATAACATAAAAAAGGGATATAAAATATGAACAAGTGGGATTTATCCAAGAATGCATGGTTGGTATAGCACATGAAAGTCAAGTAATTTAATACACCATATTAATAAAGTCAGTAGGTACAGAAAAATATTTGGCTAAATTAAACACACACTAATAATTAAAACTCTCAATAAACTAGAAACGAAATGATACTTCCTTAAACTGATAAAGAAAATCAGTGAAAAACATGCAGCAAACATCATACTTAACAGTGAAAAACAATGTTTATCTCTTAAGATCTGGGACACAGCAAAGATGTCCATTCTCACCAAGTCTGTTCAGAATTATAACCAAAGATTCTAGATAGTACAATATGGTAATAGACAGGCAGACGAACAGACAGATAAATTCATTTATCCAGATTGAAAAGAGAAAACAAAACTGTTTTTCTTAGCAGACTACATCATTATCTATGTAGAAAAACCAAAGAATCCACAAAAACTACTAAAATTAATAAAGAATATTTTCTACCACAGGATGGATATAGGATATATAAAAACAAGTTATATTTCTATATATTAACAATGATAATTAAAAAAAACTAAGGAAATAATGTCATTTACAATTGCACAAGAAAGAATAAAATATGTAAGAATAAATTGAACAATATTAGTGTAAGATTTGTACACTGAACTACAAATTATTTCTGTGAGAAGTTAAATGCCTAATTAAATAGAGAGAGATTACATATTCATGGTTTAGAAGACTCAATATTTTATGATAGCAGTTCTCCCAAAGTTGATATGATTAATTAATATATTCAATGCAATCCCTATCAGAATCACAGCAAGCTTTTTATTTGTTTGTTTATTTTTTAGAAACTGATATGCTGACCCTAAAATATATATAGAAATGAAAAGCACCTGGAATAGCCAAAATACTTTTCAAAAAGAGCAAAGTTGGAAGACTTACACAAGCCAATTGCAAAACTTACTTTAAAGCTATAATAATCAAGACAGGGTTTTATTGAGATAATGAATGTTAATAGTAGCATTATTCATAATAGTCACACTGGAAATAATCCAAATATCCATTAACTGATGAAATAGAATATTCGACTGGATTTTCCATTTGGAATGGATTTGGAATATTCCAAAACATGGAATATCCATACTATAGAATACTACTCAGCAATTTAGAAAAACAAAATACTGATACATGTTATAACACAATGAACCTCAAAAGCAATATGCTCAGTGACAGAGCCTTTCCAAAAACACAACATATTATATAATTCATTTTATATAAAATGTCCAGAATGAACAGTTTTATACAGGAAAAGAGCAGACAAGTGTCTAAAGCTGAATGTTGGACTGGGGAGTGACTGCAAAAAACTCTCAAGGGAGTTTCTTATGTTAATGGTAATGCTCTAAAACTGGATTATAGTGATGGTTGCACAACTTTAGAAATGTACTACAAAGTATTGAGTTGCATACTTAAAATTAGTTAATTTAGTTTTGAATTTCTTTATAAAGCTTAGTTTAAAATCTAAAGTGACAAAAATGTTGACCTGGGCCAATCAAACTTTCTTTTTGGGTCTTGAGAACTAGAAAATCCAAACAAACAAAATGATTAGCTATGGGAACTAAAGCAGCAAGATTTCAGTAGAGTGAGTCTGAGACAGTCTTGATTTCTATGCGGACCTATGACATAATACAAAATATTATTAAGTAGAGTTGATAGAGAAGAATGGAGAGAGGGAGTATGTGGGGAATTGGAGCAACCACATGAGCAAGATTAAGTTATTCATGGGAGACAGAGAGAGGAGCAGGACCTAGAACTCCCCTGATTTCCAACAGATTCCCAGTTCCGGCCTACACAGATCTTCATAACAAGTACTTCTCATATCCTGGCCTCCATGATATAAAGAAATCTGCACTTTTATTGAAAATGTCCTGACTAGAAAAGCTGGTAATCTGCCATAACAGCATTGATGTCATTCATTATAAATAATGGATGCATGTTTTACATATCCATAGTCCTTAATAAGAAGCCACTACAGATGACAGTGTCTGAGTCTCTTCTTGGGAGACCTCTTAGGTAGGAGATGGTAAGTGAGAACCATGGATATCCAAGTCCCACTCTTGTCTTGAAACACATCAGGAACATCCATTGTCTCCCTTTTTATTGTAATCACCTCAAGCACAACATAAAGGAGGTTATTCAGAAGGAGTCTAATTTCACACAATAATTGTTCACTAATAATTTGATTTCATGAGACAATAACCACAAAGAGGCATTTGAAGAGCAGGGTCATGTCTGCTTCACATGCCAACATTTCCTGGGGTAGTGTTTGGCTTCTTATAAGTAGAATCTATTTTGTAGGCACTGTGTGTATGAAAGGTGCCTTTACCAAACCAAAACCTCACTCATCTCATAATATGATTGCCATGAATACAAACAAAAATAAAAGTAAATATGCATCTGCAAAATGTGTAACAGTTGAAGATTACACTCAATTAATTAGTATGCTACACTAATACATTCAGTGACTGATGAGGACAATGTCATTCAGGTCCAAGGTTTATTCCAATTAGTACTTATACAGAAGTGAGTGGCCAACCCCATGAGTCACCTAAGACTCCTAATTTTACTTTGATTCATGCAGTACAATGCCCTCTACATCTCAGCTCTAGGGACTACTGTATTCATTTGGCTTCTAAACACAGTTAGAAGTGGCTTTCTTCCAATTAGTTTAAAATAGTACACCTATAAAGCCATTTCTTAAAAAAATGAAACACATGGGAAGCAAGATAATGAAAAAAGGGTATTTACTGCTGCCTTTTGCATTTGTCATTAGATTAACCAGCTCTATACTAAGTCCTTTAGATGTTTTCTTTTGAAACTCATCTGCCCCTGGATTTCTCTCATTCATCAAGGTGCTTCCTACTTAGCATGGAATCCACTGGATATAGTGAGTCTATACACGTTTCTATTTGTGCATTATGAAACCAGGAGCTTGCCCAGATTCCTGGTTAGCACCATTTCCATTTCTACCCTTCACATACATTAACATTCAGAATGAGTGGAGCCAAGACAGAGAGGTGGAAAGAAAACAAAACAATCTACTGGTAGGTTGAACAGCTAAAGATTCATCTTCCTCTTAAACATATGGACATTGGGTCCTTGAAAAAGATGCATCACTTTAATCTCTGCCTTTTTTTTCATACAGACTTCTCTTCTGTCTCTTCTTCTGTCTTTGTCTTTTCTTATAAAGACATGTGCTCAACCTAATCTAGAAAGATCAGATCTCAAGATCCCTGATTACATCTGCAAAGACTCTTTTTCCAATAAGTCACATTCACAAGTTTCAGATGCACATGTCTTTTCAAGCAGGGAAGGGGTGTCACCCTATAACCCACTCCAGATCATGCCCTGAATGTACCCTTACCACACTGACATTTCATCCTCAATGCACTTGTCATTGTCTATATACAGGGATACCCTGCTGGGCCTTGAGGGGTAATTCAACAGTGATGTTAATCAGAGGAGTGTCCATGCTCTGATAGCTAAACTCTGGGAAGACTGGGTGTAATACACTGTCATAAAACTCCAAGTCTTCTCTTGCCGAGTTCCCTATTTCTGCTAATGGCTTGAAAATGCGGCATACTCTCTGACTCGTATTTGTTCATTACCTGTGCCCATTCTGATGATTTCTAAGGAAAGAAGAGAAAAGGAAAAGGAGGATGGAAGGAAGGAAGGAAAATAGATGTTTTTCTTATGGGAAAGTGAGTCATTCAGGTTTCGATAACCAGCTTTGAGAGAGGCATGGTGGAAACTGTAAGATTTGGCAAGGAAGAAGAGACTATTTCTGTATCTTCCAGAGGAAAAATGTGGAATACGATTTTGGTAGAAGCCAAATTGAGATGGACAAAATGTCAACACATAACTCTACTAAGGCAAGTGCTTGGATAGAAATTCTTTTAAGGGTTTTTCCAAGCAAGAGCTCCTGCTACCACAGCAAATACAATGTTATAGACTTGAAATCTGAAGGGGAAAATCTGTTTTTTGTTAAGTAGACATGAATAACACTTAAAAGTAATCGGTAGGTTATTAAGTAAGAGTTAATTGCATTTATATATAATAAGTAGTTTGTCATGTTTCCTTTTGCATAATTTATCCTAGTTTATTTTTATACAAAAAGTATAGATAATTGTAGACATTCTAGATATAGTCCTGGATGAACATGAGAATAGCCTGCACACAAGCCTGTGATTGTCAAGGCAACACACCCTTCTAAAAATAAAAATTGTGCATTCTAATCATGCCAAGAGGAACTTAGCTTATTGCTTATAAATAATGATTCTGAAGTCAGATTGCTTAGGATCAACAAATAGCACAACCATTTGTTTACTTAACTTCTCTGTGCCTCACTTTCCTCATCTATAAAATAGTTTATAATAATGTTATAGCCTTATGATATTCTTGTAAAGATTGAAAGAGATGAAAACTTAAAACAGTGTATGGAAAGTAAACACAATAAATTGGAGCTATTATTTTATTAATAGCGCTCCTTGCAAAAGCCCAGCAATGTTGCTATTGATACCAGTTTCACAGGTAAGGAAACAGGTTTAGAAGATTAAATAACTTGGTCAAGGTTAAGTTAAAAAGATGAAATTCAAACCCTGTTTTTCTTGCCTCAAAGCCCATAAATGTTTCTACACCACACTTGTTTCCATTGCAGCCATTTTACATAAAGTATCTAAAGGCAGTAGAAGACAACTAACTTTTAATTGGAGGTAACATGCTTGACAAGTAGGTGTTCAGTATAACACAAGAGATTGACTGAGTGGCTGGCTGACAGACTATAAACCTACGGTTCTAACCAGGGTACTTCCCTCCCTCTTGCCCACTATTCCAGGTTTATTCTTGACTCTGTGTGTGTGTGTGTGTGTGTGTGTGTGTTTCCTGCCCTCCACATTTTATGGTCCTTATTTCCTCTTACCCTTATCCTTCTTCCAATTTCTTCTTCAAAGTCTACACATTCCTCAAGGGCCTCTGCAAGATTTTACCTCTGTAGTTCCCGCAACTTAATGAGTATTGCCAGATATGTATACCATCTGTACTATTACTTATTTAGTACATTCTTTAAACTGTGCACTTTTTATTCTTAAATTTGTTTGAAAAGGAAACCATCATAAATGAAAACCCAGTTTCCTTGGCATGAGCAGGAACTTTAAAATCACTATGATGTAAGCAAAATAAAATTAAACTCTAGCTAGAGTTTGTTGCTCTGCGTTTGAGGTTTGCTTGTCCTTGTTTACAAAAACAAATCAAATACCTACCAGGCAGGGGGAAACACAAGCACAAAGATGGTTTTCCCGGGGCCAGGCTTAGCCATTGCACTCGGGATGTACTGACCCCCGAGATTTCCCCAAAAGTGCAAAACTCAACTATCTCATTTGTGGTCATGGTGGACTATGTTCTCACTTTCTCCTGAAAACTAACACACAGAAAAATCAAGGTAAGCCCATAATAGGTATTAATGGCACATTTGCATCAAACTGAAATTTTAAAACTTCTTCATTGATATAATCAAATAAACTGAAAGAAAGCTAAAAAAGAATAACTTTCTAACTGAGTGTTTCAATGTTAATGCCACTTTCTAGTGAAACCTCACAGAATCTCTTTTACAGTGCTATATGCATCTCACCCTCTGGAAAACATTCATTTATCTGGTCTCCCAGACTCATTATTTCTCATGTGAGTGGCATGATTTATTTATGCCAATTATTTAAGAATGTAATCATAATGTTTCTTATATGCTACTTGGTTTGCATCATTTCTTGTGGACAGATACAAGCAGAATCCTCAAGATAACAAAGTCTTAGTCAGAAGACATGGTTCAGAGAATGGAGAAATAATCTCACATACGATAACTCAGTCAATGCTATGCATGGGAGAATGATAAGGAAAATTTGAATTGTTTAGAGTGAATTATTTTTAAGCAAAGCAGTAAAAAATTATATATGGGAATAACTGTATATATTTTTTCTCCTGGACCTGTTAATGATGTTCTGTGTATAACTATATACAGGTCTATATACACATTATCCTTTGTAGATAAGAATAATTGAGAAAAGTTATTTGCTGTATTGTTGTTTAAGCTTTCTGTTTTAAAGGCTAACTATTTGAATGAATTTTAGCTTTGGATTAATGTGGATTAAAGTTTAGCAGTTCAGAAATTCATTTGCATTTCATAAGACTTCAGTTTCATATTAGAAAACCAAACTCAACAAACAGATTTTAATTTGCCAACCACCCTAAGATATTGGTCTTTATCAAATATCTAAGTTTGAGAATAGATTAAAAGATGCACTACACTCATTTGCTATTTGTCTTCACTCAGTTCCTCTGTATATCATCAGATCTTGGTCCTCTATCAAAACACATGTGTATCCTGAAAATTATAGATAAAAACTAGAGATAGTCACAATTATCTTCACTTTTTTCACTTTTCACTCATTCCTATCACTTTAACCATATTCACAGCACTCACCTCTATTAAGCTTTTATATCCACAGAACTGAGTTCAGATTTGAAAGTGGTATGCCTTATTAAAACACTGTATTATCTGCAGAATAATTCTACTTGGTTTCAGATGTAAAGTATATACTATTTCAATATTGATTAAATATTTAAGGATTGCAAAATTTTGTCCTCGGAATAACAATATATTCATTCATATATAAAAGTCTGGACATCTTAGGACTCAATATAAGCCCTAAGATTAAATTGGTATATGTATTTTTTAAATTCTGCTACACCTTAAATTATAGTTATTTTTCTTTTATATAAAAGTCCCAAATTAATTGTATATTTTTAAGGCTGAAAGAAAACATAACTAAAGGGAGTCAGAAGGTTTTGTCTGATATAAATTTAAACATTTTTTGTTCTCAAGAAAGTCTATCAGCAAGAAAGGTGATGACCTGGTATTAATAGCAAGAGAAACAAGGGTTTTGATTTTCTTTGTATTCTAACCCTCTAGCACTTGATAAATATTTTAACCGCATCTTCCACATACAGCATTATGCCGTTGAAAAGTATTTTAACGAGTTATCTAAAGTAGGACTTAATTACATAAGCTTTCTTTTCAGAACAGGTTAGTGGAAGAAAAAGCTGTCTGTTTTAGTAGACGAGGATGGACATTAGAACCAACAGGCCTGAATTTTAATCATTGTGCCTCCTTGAGAAAGTAGCTTTACTTCTCTCTGAAAATGTTTGCAGATGTGCAAAATGAGAGTCTCTCATGTAGACACCAACCAAAAATGGTAGCTGTAATGATCTAACTAGTTATTTTGAATAAAGTATTAATTGTCCCTTAAAATTAATTAGTCTTATTTATCATCATCATCATAATTAGTCTTATTTATCATCATCATCATTATTATTATTATCATTATTTTCTATTCTCATTCATTCATTCCATTTTTTTTTTTACTGGAGATCTATTTTGCCGTGTCCTGAACCTGTGACCTCCTGGTGCATGGGTCGACGCTCAACCAGTGAGCCACACAGGCTGGGCAAAAAATTTTTAATAAAGTGAATTTACTTGAACACAGCACATTTTAAAACACCTGCAAATGCAGCAGAGTGGTGGACTAGTATGGAGGGAACTTTAGAGAAGGTGGTTGGAGGAGTCTTCTTTGAGAGGTGATGTCTGAGCAGAATCATGAAAGGTAGAGGGAGAAGGAGGCCGATGTCAGCCTGAGAGAACAGCCCTGGGGCACAGAGAAGAGCGAGCAGAGGAGCCGGAGGCAGGACGGGCCCTGTGACTTGGATCTCCAGGGGCTGACTGGTTGGAGATGAACTGGGGAGCAGGGCAGGGGCCACATCCTGTACAGACTTGCCAGCCGTATTAAGAACGGGAGCTGCTGAAGCAGCCAAGTTTAAACTGAAAAAGATTTTATCGCTGGTACCAAGGAGAGAGATATGGGTTCCTATGACTAGTAGCCAATTAAGTGGTGAGATATAATTGGACTGTATTTTGAACCTAGATCTGATGGAAATGAGAAAAAAAAAAAAAGAGAGAGAATCAAGAAAGGCCACAGCTTTCTGTCCTGTGCAATTGGGAGACAATTGTGCTATGCATTGATCCAAGAAGGCGGGGGCCGGGCAGATCTGAGGGTACCAGTCAAGTAAAGGTACCGAGGAGGCAAATGGATACTTTAAACATGTATTATTGGGCTTCTACTTGTTCCAAAATATTCTCTGTGTTTTCCACATGGCCAATGCTGCTCATGGTGAATGTACTCAGAGTTGTTGAAATGAACTTTAATGATCATTCTCTCAAGTAATTTGAGTTGTGGAAAGCTCTTCTGGACTGTATTTACTTTAAAGAACTCCCTTACGTTTCCAAGGTATCTGTCTGAACCTTCCTGAATCTTCCCAGGTCAGAATCTTCTCCTAATAGCACACGGCGCATGGCAGCCCCACACATACAGCATCTCGAGGTGTCTGTGTTATCTTGGTGTATTCAAGATGTGAGGCTGAGCCCTGGCCCATTTGGCTCAGCAGTTAGAGTGTTGGCCTGCGAACTGGAGAGTCCTGGGTTCGGTTCCTGCAAAGGGCACGACCTCAGTTGCAGTTTTTCCCCGGCCCCTGTTGGGGTCGCGTAGGTGGCAGCCATTCGAGGTGGTGGCAGCCATTCGATGTGGCTCTCTCATGTTGATGTTTCTCTCTCTCTCTTCACCCCTCTCTCCCTCCCGCTCTATCTGAAGATAAATGCAAAAATATCCTTGAGTGAGCCCTGGCCGGTTTGGCTCAGCGGTTAGAGCATCCGCCTGCGGTCCTGAGAGACCCGGGTTCGGTTCCCGCTAAGGGCACGTACCTCTGTTGCAGTTTGTCCCCGGCCCTGGTTGGTCGTGCGGGTGGCAGCCACTCGATGTGTCCCTTTCACATCGATGTTTCCCTCTCTCTCTCTTCCTCTCTCTCCCTCTCACTCTATCTGTACAAAAAATGGAAAAATGTCCTCGGATGAGGATTAAAAAGAAAAAAAATATATATATATATCCTTGAGTGAGAATAAAAAAAAAAAGATGTGAGGTTGTACCAGATGCTCCAAAGCAGGATTCAAATTGTGGCCTGCAGGCCAAATCTATCCCTCACCTGTGTTTCGTTGGAACACAGGCACACTTATACTTCGGGTATGATGCATGGCTGCATTCACACTACAACACTGAAGTTTAGTAGTTGCTTGCTACAGAGACTCATGGCCCACAAAGCCTGAAATATTTACTCTTTTGGCCCTTTAAGTAAAAATTGGCTGACCCCTGCTCTAAAGTATCCATTAATCGTTAAACCTCATGATTTTATAACTTAAGGGAAAGTGAATTCCAGATGAACTAAATTCTATATTCATTCGCCATCTGAAATAATTATGAGAGTAGATCTGCTATTCTGCATTTCATTTTAGTGATTATTTTTTTCTTTCCTTTAAAGCTGAAAATCAGAGTTCAACCACTACAACAGGAGGACCAGGTAAGTTGATGTTTTTATCCTCTGTAGATGTTCATGTGTAAAATCTCAAAAACGAGTCAGAGTAAATCAACCAGTCTGAGGGCAGGGTGAAATAGTACAGGGAAAACATTCCATAGCAACTAAGGTGTTTAGGAGAACTTGCGTTTAAAAATAAATGCAGACCAGGGGAATATGCAAGAAAACGCCCGATGTTCTATGGCTTTCGTGAGTGGAACCAACCCTGGCAAATGGATGCCGCCTGTGGGATTGTCTTCTGACCAGAACCTGCTTTTCCTGGTCTGTTTCTGTGGTTGGCGTGTCCTCTCCCAGAAGTATAGTGTGTCTGTGAGCTGTCTGCTCTGTATTTCCTAACAAAGCCTGGTCCTGGCATCCAAAGAGATGATGTTATAAACCACAGTAAACGTCTAAGATGTTGTCACTCCAAGCAGTGCTCATGTTTTGCCATCTGACTGGATTTTGGATGATGGAACAACAGGAACTGAAAAAAATCACTGGTCAGGGGGAGATGGTAGCATCGAATCTTCCTGTTGTTTTGAAGTCAAAATTATTTGGGGTGTTTGTATCTTTCTACATTCTACCTGGTATTTTAATACATGACAAATCTCTTAGAAGATCATGTCACTTTTTTAAAAACTGGAAAAATGAAACTATGACATTTTTGAGTGAATCTAATAACATTTTCATAGCTAATGTCCTAAATAATCATTGTTTATCTTCTAACTTTTTGTGTTTGAGGAATTCAAAACTGAAATGATTATGCTTTTAACTTTTAGCTGTTTATCTTCTACATGAATGAAGAAGTTCTTTTTCTTTATTAATTCTCTGTATTTCATCTCATCACCATATTTGCGCTCTCATTCCCTTCTACATTGTCTGGAAACAATGTGGCAAAGCAAAGCGTACAAACGGTGCATTGAGCACAAAGGGCAGCCCAGCGCTGGCTGCTGCTGTGTGTTCTGGGGGGTCCTGCCCCTGCTTCCCGGGTTGGTTATCCTGGAGAAGCTGCAGGTGGGGAACTGTTGGCCTGCCGCAAGCCCAGCTCCTTTTAAGGAGGGACTGAAGCATCTTTTATTTGGTTTAGAAAAATAGAATTCACAACATGCCAGTTTAACTGTCATTGATTTTTAAATGGAACGAAAGCCCATTTAGAATACTTTAATTTTGAGTTATGGAAACTACTTCTCCTAAAACAGATGAACTAATGATTTGAATAGTGGGCTAGAAAGAAATGAGACTGATTTTACAAGCCACAAAGAAAGTCAGTCTCAAGTTTCAGGTAGATGTTGTTGCTAAAGACTAAATCAAGATTCACATAATAATAATAATAATAATAATAATAACAATTATTAACAGGGTATTCATTATACCTCTGTTAACTGTAAATCCATGTGTTTATTTAAAAATGTTATCAAAGATGTTCAAATATCAAATTTGTGAAATATTCATCCATATGATCAAAGATAGGGATCTTAAAATAATTAATATTTCTTTTTTAGGTAGAAGTTGAGGTAGAATTCCAGCCCACAGAATAATTAATACTTCTTCCTTATTTTTTATTTTACAAATATGAGCTAATACGCATTGTGTTTGACTAGCTCATACATATTTCTTACATTTGATATATTTTTCATATAAAGCCTCTAGCTTTAATTTTCTTGAAAAATCATGTTTATACCACCCATTTAAAAAAATTTTAGTAAAGGTCTATAAATTGATGATTGTTTTATGTAGAATCTTTTTGGGGGAATTCAAAGTAAGTAAGGCAACTGTATATAAAATGTGAATGATAAGAAATTATACAGATATGATGTTTCCTATTATATAACAAAGATCAAAGAAATGTAGTCATAGTTACATGGAAATGATTGACACAGGTCTGAAGACATATCCATTCACTCCATTCAATAGTATGCAGTAGACAACTTTAGTTAACAATGCTAAGCATGAGGAAATCATGTTTAATGTCTAAAGCATGTGGCAAAGTCAAATTTCAACTGCTTGCTGTAATAGATGTGGTAAGATTTCAAATTTAGTATGATACTCTGCCTAATGTACAGACTAGTGCAGTCCGCTAACTGTGGAGTAGTAGTAATCACTGAGGCATTCAGTAATATGGAGCCTGCCATTAAGCATTCCCAAGGAAGACTGGTCATTATCATAAATAACTCTAAAACTCTAGTAGTCATGTAGGTATAAAACGATAGACAAGTTTCAGATAATTTATACTAAGATTGGTGGAGGGGAATATTGTTTTTTTCTTTTTAGCTGTAGTTCTGTTATACATTGGATATAGGAAAAGCATTTTAAGAAAGATAAGAAAAGCGTTTATGAAAGAAGTGGCCTTCTAGCCTCCAGATTATTCTGCTTACTCATTTTTCTAAATCTGAGTTTAGAGCTCATGAGGAGATGGAAAGACCCACTAAAAAGTGATGAAAGGCTGTTTATTCCCTAGAGATATATGCAGATATCACGTGGTCATTAAAAGTTTAAACAATGATGGAATTCACTTTTCTTAAGCATTGCCATTTTTCCACAGACTTATTTTTGTAAATAAACCTCTTTATTTCTTTGATAAAAGACCTCAGCTATGAAGAAAAATAGACATATAAGCCTCAGTGTATTGGGAAAGGAGTAAACTATTTGCCCTTAATTTTGTGGACTATACAACTATATTAGTCTGGGTTCTCCAGAGAAACAGAACAAATAGGATGGATAGATGATAGATGATAGATAGATGATAGATAGATAGATAGATAGATAGATAGATAGATAGATAGATAGATAGATATAGATAGAGATTTATCATGAGGAATTAGCTTATTCATTCTAGAGTCTGAGAAGTCTCAAGATCTGCAGTCAGCCATCTGGGGCCCTGGAGACAGGAAAGTTGATGGTGTCATTCCAGTCCACGTCCAAAGGCCTGAGAACCAGGAGAGACAGTGGTACCCATCAGAAAGACACTAGGCTTCAAAATAAAGAGCCACTATTGCAGTTTGAGCCTAAAGGCAAGGGAAGGCTGATGTCCTAGCTCAAGGTAGTCAGGCCGGAAGAGTTTCTTCTTTCTCAAGGGAGGGTCAGCTGTTTTATTCTCGAATGAGCTTCAACCAATTAGATGACAGCAACCCACATTGGAGAGCAATCTGCTTTACTCGGTCACGAATTCAAATGTTAATCTCATCCAAAAACACACTGACAAACACACCCAAAATAATGCTTACCAAATATCTGGTCGTCCCCTGGCCACGTCGACACATAAAGTTAATCGTTAACAATATCCCCACAGTGACAGCTTGTCAAGGATCTCGATGTACCGATTTTCTTCTCTTCCCTTCACTGTATTTTAGGAGCTCAACTGAATTGTGGACATTAACTCTGATGAAAAATCAGAACCAAGAGCAGATATAAGTACCACCATACCTGACCACTGGCCTTTGCAAAGGAGAACACTTCATCCTGTCATATTCACTATGCTTAGCACCCTATGTAATGCCAGAGGATTGGTTGCTGATTTTCAGAAATTCATATAATGTGAAGGATGAATCCTCCTATACAGAGAACAGAGGATCACCTATCTGAGTATTCTAATTTTGAATGACAGATTCTTGACACTATTGTTCAGTGAGAATCTATTCAAGCTAAAAATATACCTATACTAAAGCAATATCTGGAGGTGTTGTTTTTAACTTGGAAATTTTATGATGTTTGAAAGATTAGTTGAGAATAAAAGGACTCGCTTATGGAATGAGATATACATCAATATTTATGTGGTAGGGAGCGTCTGTCATAAACTTCCACCTAGGAAACTGAATAAATCTGGGTGTGGCTAAGAGATTGCTCCTCTAGTTCAGAGATCTGCGGAGTTTCTAGGAAATGCTCTGCACTGTTTGTTTGTTTTTGTTCTTTTACCTCCAGTCCACACTGAAAGGCCATAAAAACTCAGTCTCAACTCAGTAGCTGCCCGGCATTCACTTTATGAACCAACATTTTCAATGGTATTATTACTGGTGTGTGCTTCTCCAATAAACTGCAATGTGTTTTATTTTAACATGTTAAGAATAATTCTCTCTGTCACCGTGTATGTATCTGCGTGGTCCAGTTTGGCCTATTGAAGGAAGGAGGTGTTCAATTTGTCTTGAAGAAAAGGATTCATTCTTGACAGGAGCCTAAATTGAAATAGATTATACTTCATGTAACAAAAAATAAGAGGCATGTACTTGTAACTCACTCCTACTGAAATGCAGCGGCTTAGGCAGCACTGAGCTGTGGTTGACTACAGAGATGCTAGAGCCTGCATCAAATCCTTGCTCTGCCACCTGCTTGCCATGTGACCTTGGGCAAATTAGTTCATCTCGCTGTTTCAGTTTCCACTCTGTACAATGCAAATGTCAATAATAAAATAATTAAACGAGTTAATATTTGCTAAACACTTAGAATAATGTCTGGCACATAGTGTCCAAGGCTTGAAAACAAAATCTTTTAAAATATTTTTATGTCCATATTTTGGATCGCTTCTATTTTGTTCTCAGAAAGCATAGGGCACAGACGCGGTTACATATTGAAAAGCTTCTCCGTGTTTTCAGGTCATACTATCTGAAGTGTGAATCTGAGTGGAGACAATGTATCTGTATTAGGGGAGGGATGGGAACATTCTAAACCTTTCAGAATGCTGAGAAAAAAAATTAATTGATCATTCATAATGATGTCATTAACAAGTAAGATAACTCATTTCTAATGTGTTGGTTACATGGCATAATGGAAGGGGTTTTGAGACATACTTGGCTTGTGGCTTATCTCTTCCACTATTGTCAGATGTGTTAGGTTTCTGAGCCACAGTATCATCAATAAAACACAGGATGACAATGTGTAAGAATAAGGTGAATTAGCACATATGGAAGTAATTAGCACAGTGCCTCATTCATTCTTTGTATATTGTACATAATTTTTTGTAAATTAGTAGTCACATTCAAATCACAAAGGAAAAATATATCCTCCTTCCTCAACACATATTTCTACAGACTTAGCTGAAGTAAATAAATTTATCTCACCCTGATCAGGTAGCTCTGTTGGTTAGAGCATCGTCTGATATGCCAAGGTTGTGTCTTCAATCCCCAGTCAGGGCACATACAGGAATCAACCAATCAATGCATAAATAAATGAAACAACAAATTTATGTTTTTCTCTCTCTAAAAAATCAATTAAAATAAATAAATAAAGTAAATAAATCTCCATTAACAGTTTTTACTGGGTCAGAGGTCACTATTATCTCAGGTTAGTCACACTAATGGCCCAGTGCAAAGTAAAAAATGTGCATTGCTTTAAGAATACAATTATGTCACCCTGGCTGGTTTGGCTCAGCAGTTAGAGCGTCAGCCCATGGACCAATGATTCACGGGTTCAATTTCAGCCAAAGGCATGAACCTCAGTTGCCATTCATCCCCGACCTTGGTCGGGGTCATACAGGAGGCAGCCACTCTATGTGTCACTTTCACATCGATGTTTCTCTCTTTCTTTCTCTCTTCCTCCCAATCTATCTGAACAAAAATGGAAAAAACAGTACTTGGGTGAGAATTAAAAAAAAGAAAAGAATACAATTATGTCAAAAGGTAAGGTCTGATGAGAACAGTAATAAATTTTGATCATGCGAAGACAGAAAATCCCCCCATTGATATCTTGCCCATTCGGTAGACAGGGTGTGGCATTACAGGTGAAATACATTCTAACCTGGCTGGTGTGGCTCAGTGGATTGAGCAACAGTCCCATGGACTAAGAGGTCTCAGTTCAACTCCCAGTCAGGGCACATGCCCAGGTTGCAGGCTCAATTACTATTAGGAGGTGTGCAAGGGTCAGCCAATCCATGTTTCTCTCTCACATCAGTGTTTCTATCTCTCCCTTCCTCTCTCTCTAAAAAATCAATTAAAACATAAAAAAAAAAATGTCTCAGTTCTTTAAAAACAAAACAAAACATTCTAGCTATGACAAAATCTGTATTGAAAATAACTTTGACAAGAACTGAAAATCTGAAAGCTAGAAGAGACTTCAGGGATCATATCAGCATATTCTTCATCCAAAACACAGTCTTGCACCAGCTAGGCTCATGGCATTTATTGTCTGTATCATTTATGTGCCACTTACTTTTATAATAGACCATTTTCCTCTGTGATAACAGAGGCCTAAAGTAGACCATGCTTCCTTTCTCTGAGTGTCCAGATGCTCAGAGTCAATTCTATGGCAATGCCAGCAACTATTGTAACTCTTAGAAGGAGACTGTTTGTGTCTTCCATTTGCATTTGCTCTATTTCTATTTTATGGTATATGTTTGTGTCTTCCATTTGCATTTGCTCTATTTCTATTTTATGGTATATATTATTGTTTCAGTTCCTCAAATCCTTCTTGTTAAGAGTTAGTTTATAAGTAAGCATCAATAAACATCAACATAGTCTCTCCCGTTTTGATCTCTGATGTACTGGTTTGTCTTACTCTTTATCTCTTCACATCTATTCATTTTGGGCTGTGCTTCTCATCTTCCATGCCGGAGGCTGACCTCAATCTCTTATACTCTGCTGTATTTCCCTCAACATCTACTCTTGGCCCCAGAGTAGGTATCTATTTTTTTTTTCTTTTATTGCAGAATGGATGAAAAAAACTAACACTACAATAATTTAAAAAATTTAACAGGCCTAATATTAAGATTGCATAATCTCATTAATACACTTAGTCTTCAATAGTAGTCATTTTGCTGCAAAAAGTTTATGCATTCAGCAAAGACTTGTGTTCCTTATATCTGGAAACATCAGTGAGCAAAATACAGATCCTTGCCATCAGGGATTTTATATTTTGGTAGGGAGAAAAACTATAATCAATAAATATATTAATGAACTAAATTATATATTAAGGTAAAGGTGATAAGTGCTATGAGAAAGAGAAGGTATAGAGAAGTTTAGGAAATTCTGGCCTGAAGTTTGAAAATTGCATTTAAATCATGACATAATATATGTGCAATTCAGTAATCACTAAAAGTCAGGGTTAAGGAGCAAACCCACATCATCTAAGAGCACCGTTTACTCAAACTTCTCTCATTCCTGACTGGAATCAAGAAGCAGCTGAAAACATAGAGGTTTCCTAAGAGTCTGTTTCATGTATTTTACAATTAAAATTTTGGAGAAAATTAGGCAAATTACTCTGGTTGAAGCATACAATTCTCCAGGGGTCTAATCATAATATAATAGTAGGGTATCATAAAGCAATATATTAATAAAATATAATTTAAAATGTGTAATTTTATAATAATATTAGCTATAACAAAAATATTGGCATCAAGTACTCTTCTAAGCAATTTCAATTATTTTTATTCACTTGATTTGCACAATACTATGATGTACAATTATTATCATCACCATTTGTAGATGTGAAAACTCAGACATAAAGAGGTTAAGTGACTTGCCCAAGATTCCACAGGAAACAAGTGCAACAGTCAATTTGAAACCAGTTGCTCAGTCTTCAGAATCATGCCCTTGACTATCTACTATACTACTTTAATAGTAATGTAGGATAATAGAGTATTAGCAACACTCACAGAGATCATCAACTCTGAACACATGTGGTTCCCACTGTCTCAGTCACAGAAGAAATCCCAGTAGGCTCACAATTGATTAATTCGGCCAAGACTCACTATTTCATTAATATGATCATGCTAATGGACAGGATTCCTCAAATTGTGGGTTAACACCCATTAGTGTATCATAACAACATTTAAAAAAATTAAATAAAAGAGAACAGAAAATACCAGAAATCATTACATATATAGAGGTCATTTCTGTGTGTGTGTGTGTGTGTGTGTGTGTGTGTGTGTGTGTGTACTGGGTTCAGAAATAATTTATTAACTGAAGGTTGAGGTTAAAAGAAAAGAAAAAAGAAAAAATTTAAAGTCTTTGTTCAAGGATCCAGTAAATTTTTCTTTTAAGAAGAATTAATTCTATTGCCTACCTATAGATCATTATCAGTAACAGTTGGCACTGGATCATCAACATATTTTAAATAGAAAAATTGGAGTTTCATCTGAGCCAGATAGATTATACTCAGAACGGTAGCTGCCACTTAACCTGTCAATGAGAAGGTAATAGGTAGGAGTCTTGAAAATTAACCCTTGGAAAATCGCAGATGGATTAATGCCACTGGTTATTTCATCAGCCATCTCGTTCTCTACCAACACAACGGAAAGAGCATTCATTTTTACTAAAACCTGTGACACTTCAAAAAGCAACTAAAATGACCAAGGATTCAGCTAGTTCTCACTCTTTCATTTAATATTCTTTTTTCTGCCTGCCTAGTGCACTAGCCTGACATTTTTCTTTGTTCTTATGGGTATATATCTCGCTTCCTCCCACAGAACTCTTGCATGGCAAGAATGGTTCAGACTCTAAACATTATTCTTCTCCCACAGATGTCAAACATGCATGAGCACGAGGTGCGTGCTGGGCTGTGGGTGGCACAGAGGGAAAGATCCAAGGCAGGCAGAGGCGATGTCAGTTTCACGGCAGCAGTTATACACATGGCCTCCATACTCTAACGGGCCATAACGATAAGAGACGTCACTCAGTCCACCCTCGCTGTCAGCTACATTTCGCTGCACACCCACTGTGCTCAGAGGTCCACGTGGGGTCTGGTGGGAGCTGTGGCCTCCTCACTCAGGAGCTTGCAATTCAGTAGAGAGACAAGGCAAACAGGTGTGATGAAAAGATACCATGTTATACTACGAGAAGAAGGGAATGATTTTTCAAAAATGTTCTAAATACAAATTTCATTTTACCCCAAATTACAAGAATACATGCTATACACTTGTAGAGCATTAGATTATTTATATTTCTTGGAAATGTATTGAGAGGTGTGGATTTTGAATGATATGTTTTTTATTTATTTTCTGCTTCAGTCTTTCTGACTGAAGATAGCAAACGTTGACTTAAGCCAACAAAAATAATTATAATAAGTTTAATTTACATTTCCTTTGGAGGAAAAGATAACGAACTGTGGCAGAAATGGAACCAAGCAGGAGTTACTCTAGATAAGCCACAGAAATGTAAACCACTGCTGAGCTTTAAAGATGAAAGTGAAGGAATTTTTATTTTCCCCCAATCCTTTTAACCATAACCTCAACGGCAACCTTTTTCTTCAACCACTAAGAAACACTATAGAAATAAAGTCCTGTGTATTTATGTTCATTTTAAGTATGTATGATGGAAAAAATTCACTATCATCCAGTTATAATATCTGAAACGTGAACGATGTTTTGCCCAGATTTTCAGCCAGCAGGATCACGTACAGTGGGTGATGCAGACTGCAGCCTAAGATAAGAGACGCGCTCAAGTTTTCTTGGCAGTTCTTGAAAATATAATACTGATACCCAGGTTTTGTTATCCCAAATTTAATTATTGTTACAGGAGGAATAGATGAACTTAGGCTATAATGTATAATTGTATGTATCCTATTATTTAACAGGAAACATTTTCACAGATATTCAGAAATGCAATAAGAAGAGTTAACACTGTAGTCTGACTCTAGATTTCTGATTTTTTCCCTACAGTTAGCACTCCACAAACAGATGCTTCAGTTTCCAAAACCAGTATATTACCCTCAACATCAATAACGATTCCAGAAAACATCTCATCATCTCAAGGTATGACTTCTGTATGCATGACTAGAAACTCGCTTTTCTCACCTCCTTCTCAACAGGAAAACCGTTCCTATATATATTTTTAATAACAGCTATATTAAGTTATATTTTATATATAAAAATTTTACATCTACAAAAAGGGGAACACAAAGAAACTGTTGAGGATATGTCTATTATCTTGATTGTGGTAATGGTATCATGGATGAATGTCCAAATTCATCAAATTGTTTACACTAACTCCCTACCAACCTTGATTTGCAAAACACAGTTATTCAGAATGATATCAAATGTGTTGATCTGAAGCATCCTACCTATATAGATTTATAGAGACTTATTTAAATGGGGGTCATGAGGAGGATGAAGGGAGGGTTGTGAGGACTGGCACACATTAACAAAAGGTAACTTATTTTTTCTTTCTTAAAATAATAGGCACCGAGAATGCAAAGAATGCAAGCCCTTCTTCAACCAGCCCCTCTCATTCCAGTGAGTAACAGACATGCCTTCATTCACAGCAATAGATATGCAGAATATTTGAATGATGCCAATAAGGGAAGGGATTCTAGGTAGACTTTTATCAGCTTTACGGAACTGCAATCCCATTATAATCCTCTCTCACTGCCACCTGCTTTGAGAATTTTCTACTTGTGAGTCTGGTTTTAATGAGCACACTTTTGAGATTATTTTCTTACCTCAGGGCTAAGCAATTACCACCAAAGGTCAAGGTGAATTTAAGGGACAGGTCTCAGATAAACCAAAGTGTACAGACCGAGATCTTCATAAAAATGAATTGTTCATGTTTACAAAACTTTATCTTAATGTTCAAAATGGCATTTCAAGAAATGTTCCATTTTAGCAAAAACAGATATGTCATAATATAGGGTGTGGTAAAAGTTGGTTTACAGTTGTGAGTATGGAAAACACAAGAGTTTATTCTTGTATTGTTACTTATTGATTATTGTATTATTTCCCATATGAACAACAGTAAAGCTACTTTTGCTCCACCCTGTATATGTGTATGCTAGGACTAAATAGAGAACACTCTTTAACTTCCCTGGAAATAAAGAATAATTTGAACACATATGAAACTGGGATAATAAAAAATTATTTTAGACTTAGGTAAAGCCATTCCATTCAATGGATCAGAATTGCATTTGTTGATCTGCTGATTCATGGTTTCTTCATTTGGGGAGGCACTAAAGATCTCACTCAAGGTCTAATATGAACCCAGAAGGACTTACTTAAAACAAAGAGTTAATCATAACAGTGGAAGTGTAAACCTCCCTCTAAATGAATTGGCTAATTATTCTCATCCCCTGATAACCATGAGGAACATATAAGCAAGCAGATGAGAATACCTAATAAATGGTAATTATAATGTCTACATCTCTAGCTACATCCTTTCATCACTGTCGTTTAAACCTGGAAAATGACTGTCAGAAAAGAAGACAGATGCTTAAAAACACACACAAAAAAACAAGCCAGCAAACCCCTCCTCTTAATAAAAAGAGGAAAACCATAATCGCCCAAACAGATATATGTGTGTGTGTGTGTATACACACATGTGCACATACACACATGTACATTGTTCTTGAACCATTTGTTTATCTTTAGAAATAATATGTACTGTGATATCCATTATACCCATTTATGTTATTTTATGTCTTTTCTAGTTCTAAGATATAATTATGGAAAGATATTTGTGAGCTTTTTGGAATGCCAGTTTTATAACTGGAGTAGTTCCAGTATTGGCTATATACGTTCTTTTCCCCAGTAAGTTCACTGTAAAGTAGTAAAGAATATAACGTGTGCATGCGGGTCTGACTGGAGGTCTAGAGGGCATCTTCTGCCTCTTGTCTCCCATCTCAAGGAGAGTGAACAATTTCCTTTAGGTTTGACATTTAATTTCAGAAAGACTACAAGACTGACCTCAAGTGGACACATCAGAAATGACAACCAAAGCAAAACCCAGGAATCGGATAACTAACTCTTCTTTGCTTCTAGTACAATATTTTAAATAGAATGATGTTTAAAGAAGGAAGAAAGCATGCATGCTTTTGCTCAGTTCGTAAACTGTTTATTGCCACTCTAACGGACAATGTTCCCATCCTTTTTAGGTGTTATTTTGCCGGTGGTTATTGCACTGATTGTAATAACTCTTTCCGTATTTATTCTGGTGGGTTTATATCGAATGTGCAGGAAGACAGACCCAGGTGAGGAAATGTTTTGTTTCATTTTTGTTTCCTGAAAGGAGAATACTCATGCTAGATCTAAACTTAAATTTAAACTCTTAAGGGGAGAGAAGAATTATAGAAAGAAATAAAATATCATGTTGCTTGACCACACAAATACATGGGAAGGGACAGAGAAAGCCACGCAGTGCTTGTGAATGGAAGGAGTAGGGATTAACTACCAGCATCAGATATTATCAAATGTGGACAAATACCTTTTAATGAAACAGCCCCAGTTTTGTGGGTGGTTGGGGGGAAATGGTAGTAAAGAAGGTATAAAATAACATGCCTTATCTATAGTGAAGATTTGTTTCTTTTCCATGTAACAGAAGGTAAAGGGAAGTCTTGCTGAGGATTTAGTTTAGGGCCCGGTGATCTCCAGAAGGGTGTTCTGTGACTCACTCCCCTCTTAGCCTGTCCAGCAGCTTCTAGAAGTCCTTCCCCTTTTCTCCAAAGAGACACCGTTCTCTTTTAAAGACCCTCGCTCTGTGTTTTCTTCTTTTGGATGTTTGATCTTCTCCCTGCCTCGGAAATACTTATGGATCCTTAATGGCATTATATTTTTTATTCTTCTTTTAAATAAATGTTTTGTTTTAAATTAGATTTACACTTACAGAAATGTTGCAAACATAGTTACAAAGAGTTTTCATATACCCCATAGCTGTTCTTATTATTAATATGATAGATTTGTCACAAGGAATTAACAATATTGGTTGATACATTATTATTAACTAAGGTCCCTACTTTTTCAGATTTCTCTCAACCTTTTTGTCTTTTTTCTGTCCCAGGGAATTAAACTTTTTATTCAGTGCCTCATCTGAATCCCCTTCAGTTCCCATGGCTCATACTCCCCTCTGGTATCTCAAACAGAAACCTTTGTCTCCATTCCACATCCCAGCCCTGCTTATGTGATGTAGGGTTATGTATCGGTGCCTTTGTCCATGCTGTTCCTTCTCCTAGAATGTCTAGCCCACCACTCGAAGTTTATAACATGCTCAATCTCCAATTTGTCCATTAGCATCTAGCTCAAACACCAGTGTAATGCATCTTTGTATAACAGCATCTCTTTAGGCAGAATGGAGTGTTCTCACTTAAAAAAAAAAAATTATTTTTTATCCTCACCAGAGGACTTTTTTTTTTTTTTTTTTTGCGTTTATCTTTAGATAGAGCGGGAGGGAGAGAGGAAGGAAGAGAGAGAGAGAAACATCGAGTGGCTGCCACCCACACAACCCAACCAGGGCCGGGGACAAACTGCAACTGAGGTACGTGCCCTTAGCGGGAACTGAACCCAGGACTCTCTGGTCCTCAGGCCTACACTCTAAATGCTGAGCCAAACCAGCCAGGGCTCACTTTAAATTCTATAGACTTTTATGATATTCATCATGTTATAGTTACTTCTTTATGTACTTGTTTTTCCTTAGTCTGTTCCAGGTGATATAACAATAATACAATAGACAGTGTGGCTTAAATAACAAACATTTATTTCTCACAGCTCTGAAGGCTGAGAAGTCCAATCAAGGTGCCAGATTGGGTGTCTGGTGAGGGTACACTTCCTGGCTTACCGATGGCCACCTCCTCACTTTGTATTCATGTAGTGGAAAGAATAAGAGAATTCTCTGAGTCTTTTTCATAAGGTCACTAATCCCATGAGGACTCAGCCCTCACAACCTAATCAACTTCAAAAGGCTCAACATTCTAATACCATTATATTGGGCATTAAGATTTAACAAAGGCTAGGAATATACCCTAAGAAGCCTGAAACACCCAGAAAGAATATATGTACCCCCATGTTCGTAACAGCACTATTTACAATACCTAAGATCTGGAAGCACCTCACGTGTCCATCAGTTGGTGAATGGATAAAAAAGCAGTGGTACATATACACAATGGAGTACTATGCAGCTATAAGAAAGAAAGATCTCTTATCCTTTGAGACTATATGGAGGGACCTGGAAAGTATTATCCTAAGCGAAACAAGCCAAACAGAGAAAGACAAGTATCATATGATCTCACTTATTTGTGGAATATAATGAACATAACAGTCTGAGGAATGGGATAGTCCCAGAGATGTGGAAGTGTGGTACAGACTGACAATCCCCAAAAGAGGGGGTGGTGGGGGAGAGATAAACCACAGAACTTATATGCATGTATGCATGAACAATGGACATGAACAACAAAGCTGGGGACAGGGCAGGGAGGGAGAGGGGGAAGGTATCAGTGGGGGGAAAAAGGAGAAACATCTGTAACAAAAATAAATTAATTAAATAAAAAAAAGATTTAACATAGGAATTTTAGGGGAACACAAACCTTCAGTCCATAACATTGCACTGTGCACAATATGTAACAAAGCCTACGATACACCTGTTGGGTGAAATTTTTAAATTTTCAATAAAATAGAACCTTGCCTTTCCTCACTTTAATTCTTCATATTTCACTACAGAACTCTACCTAAGTCTCAACTACTGTTAGAAAGAAAACATCCACTTCTCATAACACACGTAAGCCACCGTGTTCTTGTCGCCCCGTGGACAGCGTCTCCGGGCACTAAGGAAGGCCGCAGACGCAGTCTCGAAGCAGCCCTGCAGACCGCTGGGCGCGCGAGCTCGGCAGTGTAGGGGGAGTTAGGGGACTGAAAGAGGAACCGCCACCAGTGGTGTTCACGTGGCCCTTGGTGGAAGATAAGAAGAAACAAATCAATGACTTTCCTCTTGGGAGTTAGTGAATAAACTTCTTAATAATGTCTAAAATATATTTTCTTAGTTTTCAGAAAGGAAATAGCATTTTTATAAATCAGTTTAATTTCTCTAAGTTTCTCAACCACCAGTGCAATTTTTTTTTTAATATATTTTTATTGATTTTCTTTTAGAGAGAGAGAGAGAGAAATCCATGGCATGCCTCCTGCATGCCTTCTAGTGGGGGTCGAGCCCACAACCCAGGCATGTGCCCTGACCGGGAATTGAACCAGTGACCTCTTGGTGCATGGGATGGTGCTCAATCCACTGAGCCACACGGGCCGGGCATCAGTGCTATCTTTGATGGAAAATCAACCATCCAAGTTGAAGTCTGTGGGTGTTGAGTACATAGGAGAGGTAAAAAAAAAATTAGTGTTCGAAATCCATTTGTAAAAATATCCTTTACTAAAAAACTGCTTTGCATAGGAAGATTTGCAAGTAAGATATCTGAAAAGCTGACACTTGCTATGAAAGAAGACTCTATGAATGAATTAAATCATTCAGGGGGAAAATATATATAAAAAATTTCTACTGCTATAAAAAGTAAAATAAAATTCCTACCACTATGGAGGGTTATTCTAAAGACATACAATACTTTATAACCAAGTTTGGCAATTGTACAATTAGCCAAAACTATTTGGTTAGCATTAACATTGTTTGCCAAACAGCATGTATAGCATCACTACCATTAAATTAGCACCATTAAACACCCACAGTAATCACTCTTCAATGTGTGGGTGAGATGCCATTAAGTTCAGAACATTAGTAAACCCACTTCGCTTACTGGAAGACAACATGAATCAGACATTTCAGTAGGAAATCGAGCTTATCTGGATAATGTTGACAGCAGTCTGAGCTTTAACCCAAGTAAGAACAGTGCATATGCCGAAAGTAGTCTGTTGGTGTGCGTCTGTCTGGTCATGAATCCATATTCCATTATTCCAAGGAAAAATATTAAAACTCGTGTTGGAACAGGGCAATGAGCATCACAGGGGATATCATATAGAGTACTTATAATAGGAATTGCAAAATGCTGTTAACCCCCTACTGAAGGGAGGGAAGACAAAGTTAGATCTCCTTGGTGAACAGCATATGGGACCATGAATCAAACCGTAGGGACTAAGAGTCATGGGGGTGCATCTTAGCCAAGGTGAAGTGCAAATGGCCACAACATTACTGGAAATCAAGGTCTTTATAAAACAACGATGCTCAAAGCCAGGAGAATTACATTTAAAGGGCTTCATATATCCGATGGCAAGCGCTAGATGAGTGATGGAAGGAAATCCTAGGGACAGGAGCTGAGTAGCAATGGAATCAAGAACACAAGGGGCCCTTCAGTGGTTACATTGTGTAGTTTGCCTACCAGGCCACGGTCAAGGCAGGGTTTTCCCGCTGTCAGGGACCACGCTCTCGTGCAGAACGAATTACCTGAGTTCTCGCTCTCAGCCCAGGGGGTTTTCCACCAGACCCTGCAGAGCAGCCTGGCAAAGCAACAAAAGATTAGTTGCCGTTAGTAGCCTCTGTGACATTTTGCAGGGCACTTTAGAGACACAATCAGTGTGATTCAGATGCAATTAGAAGCAATATCGTAGCTCACCACGGATACAGTGATTTATGTCCCCAGAAAGAGCAATGAATAAAGAAATGTCAGAAATTCAATTCTCTGGTATAAAAAGGCAATTCAATACTTTGAGGAGGATTTTTTTCCCCCAGAGGTACTGAAGTAAACAGAGACATTTTCCGGTGCTGGTGGAACGTGTGATAACAGACAGTAGTTTTCCACAGTGCCATGGGACTTTGGCAGAACTAAGTTCCGTGGAGTCGGCCCGCTCAGGGCTGCCCCATGAACGCCTTGGCCATGCCTGAGGAATGAGTGGTAACCATATCTGAGAAGATGATCAATGAGGCAGGGAGTGGAGAGATGTTTTTAAAAATTAAAAATTGGCCCTGGACGGTTTGGCTCAGCGGTTGGAGCATCCGCCTGCGGTCCGGAGAGACCCGGCTTCGGTTCCCGCTAAGGGCATGTACCTCGGTTGCAGTTTGTCCCCGGCCCTGGTTGGTCGTGCGGGTGGCAGCCACTCGATGTGTCCCTTTCACATCGATGTTTCCCTCTCTCTCTTCCTCTCTCTCCCTCCCACTCTATCTGTACAAAAAATGGAAAAATATCCTCGGGTGAGGATAAAAAAAAAAAAAAATTAAAAATTGGCTTTAGAAATATTTCTGCACAGAAAGTGGCAGGGGTCTCGGGGTTTTTTTGTAGCCAAGTTTCTTACAACTGTGATAACAATTCTCTCCTCTTCTAGGCACACCAGAAAATGGAAATGACCAGTAAGTAAGGCTAAGTTATTTTTTTCCTAGAAGCTTTGACTGTATAATTTACATAAGGAAAAGCATCAGTCCTCTACTGAAAAATACAAACAAAAGCATCAAAGCTCTATTGTTTGTATTTTTAAAGAATTCGTGTAGAAATATTGCAAATGGAGTTTAACGATCTGTCGGAGCTCTCTCTTTTCAACAAAGAGATTCCAACAGCTAAAAGCAGGTTTTTCTTAAGCTTGAATAAAGTGTTAAAATGAAAAATCAAAAGATGACATGCAAAAATAGAAGAATGAATATAACTACAAGAATAAGTATCATAGAAAACATACCTGGAGTTTTAAAATAGTTTTCCCAGTGAATTTTCAGAATGTTTCTCACAATTAGGGAAAAAGCGTGCCTACTGAGTGGCTTCGTGAACAGTACACCTGTGTTCTGCTTTGACTTTTTAAAAACAAACAGAGCAGTTGTTACCAGTCCAGCCAACTGTTGCAATCAAGGTGCTACAGAGACAATTTATTGTCATGTCCAAAACCAAGTCTGTGGTTGTTTCCTTTGTTGACCTGAATTTGTACCCTGCCTTTATGTAGGTGTTTTCATATGTTCACCAGACTGTGAACTTTAGAAATAGTATCTGTAGACCACCTACCATTCTTTTTTTTTTTCTTTTTTTTTTTTAATCCTCACCCGAGGATATTTTTGCATTCATCTTCAGATAGAGCAGGAGGGAGAGAAGGAGGAAGAGACAAAGAAACATCGATGTGAGAGAGACACATTGAGTGGTTGCCACCCACATGACCCCAACTGTTGCTGGGGACAAACTGCAACTGAGGTACGTGCCCTTAGCAGGAACAGAACCTGGGACTCTCCGGTCCACAGGCCGACGCTCTAACTGCTGAGCCAAACCAGCCAGGGCTCACCTACCATTCTTAATTCGATATAAAGGCTCTTGAGATTTCCAGTGAAAGGAATAGAGATTTGAAGCTTTAGAATCTGAGGAAGAATAGGCGGGAACTCTTGGTTAAAATAGTTCAGATGCTAGGCTGTAGTATCCCGGACATCACAAAAAAGAATACCCCTAGAGCTCAGCATCAGCCCCAAAAGATTGGAAACATTTCTATGTCTTCCCCTTCAGAATTCAGAACTGAAGACTTGTACCGTATAGACCTACCTGTGACAGGTGTTTCACATGACCTGTCTTGATGTTTAATTGATCGGATGATCATTGCTGTAACAGAATGATGGAGATTTATTGACTTGATCCCAAAAGTGGAAAGTGCTGTACAAGTATGTGTCTGTCTGTGAAGACAAAGGTTTTTCCACAGAAACACATAAAATCCATAGGCTTGTGTATCTTCTCCAGTCTATGTATATCATGTTTACTTTCTATCACAGACATACCATGCTATTACTGTGGTGCTAACTTAATGTTTTCTGTTCCAAATAGACCTCAGTCCGATAAAGAGAGTGTGAAGCTTCTCACTGTTAAGACAATTTCCCATGAGTCTGGTAAGTTCCGAAATTGTGGATTAGATGAAAAACGGTTATTTCAAAATCTAACTTGGATTTTGCTCAGGTTGAAACAACCGAAAAACATAACTTCTTTAGAAGTAGTCAATTAGTAACTCCCAATAAATATCAATTTTTCCTTTGAAGGAAAGACTAGCCCTAAAAATATAATTTTTGGCAAAATTATTGAATTATCTGGCTTTTAGAAGTTGGTGTTTATAATGTGTGGGTGTGTTATAAGGAATGGGTGGTAACTAGAGGCATTTTCCATTCTGCAGTAACGGCAAAAAGAACATTACGTGTACCACAGGGTTTTTATTATCGCTGTGATTTTGTTTCATTTTTGCTAATGGCTGTGTGTAGTCCCCTGGAACCGGGATTTGTCAGTTAAATTGCAAATCATATTTTGTGTAATTTCATATGATTTTAATTGAGTTTCCCCCTGAGGACAAAACATAATTTCCTGTTGATAAAATTTACATTTCCTATTTCTTAGGTTTCGATTTTGCTTGATTTGAAATACAAATGGTTTTTCAAAATATAGATACAATTTATATGAGCTATATTGTAGCAAGAACAATAAGTGAGATGCTACATAGCTTTTAAAATTTAAAAAGCAGAGATTATTTTCTTGTTTTGAATAGACCACATATCTAAAACATCGATATCACAAAACAGATAAATAAAAAGTAATTATTAGCTTTCCAAAACAATCCATGTGTCTCTAATTTAAATATCAAGTTCCATCAATACATTTACAACATTCAGTTCCCCCAATTTTACCTATGCAAAACTCCTAGAATATAGATGTTATGTAAAGTGTGAGCTATTATAAATTTGTAGCAAAAATTTTTTTCTGTAAAAAAAAAAAAAAGCCATAAATACTATCTCATTTCAAAAGCAAGATGTCAACGGCTGAATGTGTTCTCAATTTCGGGTAGGACATTCTAACCAGAACATACTACAAGAGGTAAACGGAAAACTTGAAAAGTGAGGGCACCCAAATCTGCAGACAGGCCCAAACTCCTCACATGAGCCACTGTCTCTTAAGAGAGATTGTCTTCATTCATGTCTCTTCTACTCTTTGATGTACATGGTTCCTTTATTCTACACTGTTCTTTCGGAGGTAACCATCTGAATGGGCAGAGGGGTAAAATTCATTCGTTAGGATAATCGGAAGCCACTGCAGGTTTTCCTGGCCATTCACCTGGCTCCACTAAGTAGCCAAACCTATTCTACTAGGTCAGGGAAAAGCGGCCTAACTGTGAACCGGTCCTGACATGAAGGATGGTGAGCGCGGCTCTACCATTGGTCAAGAAGAGTTCTCAGAATCTGCTGTGACCTGCAAACAAGCATCCAGTAGTTTCAAGTGCTTTCCCTTACTCCATTGGGAATTTACCGAACACTTTCCACCCTCAGGCCTCTTTAAGCTGTGGATGGGCTGTGTGCTCACCAGCACAGGGAAGACACCTCTGTGCAGGAGCGCCGGCTCTCCTTGTGAGGTGGGGGCTGGGGTCAGGACTGCCTGCTCTTCATCCTTTCTCCAGGGCAATGACAACTGACACCAGCGCTGAGGCTTCCAGAGGAGACAGCCCTAAAGAACCTGGTGTTTCTTGATGGCAAATTTAACGTCTGATTCTGCTTTAAGGCCCAAGGAAAATTTACATAAGCTGGTGTCTCCCTCTCTCATAGTGACCGCAGTCATAAGTGAGTGGACGATGGTGGGATCATTCAGACCTTTAACTCTCCAAGCTTCCTCTGCTTCATACGCAGGCGATATTATCATGAGAGGAATGAGGTCTGTTCTCTGGTACTTTTATTTCTGCTGACTTCAATTTAGGACTCACACCTCATTTAATAAAATAACCTTTCAATGGTCAACCCAACTGATTACGGGGAAATGTTTGATCAGATGACAAGATTGAACTGGTGACTCAGAGTCATTCAACAGCCTAGAATTAATCACCTGAAACATAATAATCTCCAAATGCTCTTTGTGCCACCACAGTTTTTGTTGAGGCTGGTTTCTGAACCACTCACAAACAAATCTCTTTCCGTGGCCTTCAAACTTACTCAGATGTGCTTTCTTTATAAAATGATGCTCACTAAACTCAGCCAAAGTTACATTATGATTATCTTTACTTAAATATCATTTTCCCAGTAGTAACATCTTTCATGAAGTATAACTAAAATAAAATCTGAAATGATTAGGTTTGATATAAGTTCAGAGATTTTTAAGCCCAATTTTCTCCTATCTCCTATAAGAAAATGTTTAGAAATTATAAAAATACAGTAAATAATTGGATAGAACAAACACATGACTACCCATCACTCAGAACTGATGAGTGATACATTTTATGTTACTTGCTTCTGAGAAATGTAGTGGGAGTTAATGTGCCTAAGTAGTAATAAAGTGAAATTTGAGCTTCCACGGTCAAGAGTTCATTGGATTGGTTAGTACTTCGATTATAAACTCTGATTTTATATATGAAAATTAATTGTGTCACTTTAGAGGTGAATAAATCAGGTTTCCAAGGAAACAGAGCTCTGCAGCCACCTATGTTCAAGGGGAGGCCCGTGGGTGCTAAATTGTCTGGGTTTCTAGGAGCTGCAAGGGACCATGGTCATTGCTCTGGTCATTTTCTGCTGCTAAGACAGTTCTTTGCCCCCAAACCTCCTCTGATTGGGCTGTGGTGTTCATCTATCCACACTTCCTGCTTGCTTTTAATATGTTCTCTCTCTCACAGGGTTCTTCTGCTGAATGTAGCACATAAGTGTTTAAAATTTGATTATTTAAATTAGGAATTTTCTTTAAGTAAAAGAGAAAGCCTACCAGACTATAACAAGAATGTACTTTTAGAAAACATTAAGCACCAAATGTGGCAGATCAAGGAGTATTTTTTATGAGGACATATATGATACCACACAGCTTCAGTAAGAAATCTGGCCAAGTTAAACATCCCATGAAGACTGCAAAATATACGTGACATGATGCATGTTAAGTGTGATTCCCACTGACATCACATCTCAGAAAGTTAATATACATTATCTCATTTTCATATTAAAGGCAATAAGAATCATGGAGGAAACTGCTTAAATTAGTTCAAGAATACATGACTCCGCAGAAGAAGGAAAACACAGTATCTTTGAATTTAGTTACAAGGCATACTTGATTTTGAAGCATTTGGAGGAAAAAAAAGCAGATCTGAATTCATTATAATATTGCTCTGCTTAGAACACTCTGATAAGTGTGTATTAGCTGAGATTAAGTTCAAACACTTTAGCGTGTCTGCCAGGGCGACCGTGTCTGGCTGGGTTTTCAACCACCTAAAAAGGCATATTCCCCAGACGTCACTCATCTCTGGTCCCTGTCTTCCTCAGTGCACCCAAGCTCTTCTGAGGAGATGGTGTCTTCGTCTCTTTTGTCTCCCCTACCTCCACCTCCTAAATTATGGTCATCACACAGCATTAGTGTATCATTAGTACACCAATACTAATCAGCACATTATCATAAATGCACAATCACTTGTATATTGCTTACTTCTTTTTACAAATAAAAGTTCATTAACAAGAAATGAGTAAAAATGTAAAGATCGGCAAAAACAGATGACTAGATTTATGAAGCCATCTATAGATTCAGCCTGTCTTCCCAGCTCTTCAGTGTTATTTGGCCTACCCTCCTTAATGCATTTTCCCCGAACGCCTCACCTGTCCCAGCTGCAAACAGCTGCCTCTCCGCTATTGTTAATTTGGCAAATCAACATGTAATATCATGTTATAACAGCTCTTCATGGCTTCAACTGCCATTTTAATATTTGACCACATGACCACATGACTCATAATAGAGGGTAGAAAAAAATACAAAGTAGAAAAGAATTGTAAATTACTCATGAAACACAACCTTGACACAATCACTATTGACATCTGGTGTATTTTCTTCCAGCTGTTTTTTCTAGGTACCTGTGTTCAGTTTGCTTTTACCATGGATATCATTATTATAACTCTTCTTGGACTGAGATTGTTATTGAATCTTTCTCACACTCTTTATTCCCAGGGAGAGAGACCGTGAAGGGAGATATTAAGAATTGTAATGATTTTCCTATGATTTGCTTAATGTGACTTCTGGAAGAGGGTAGGGGTTCAATAAATGTTTATTTTGTTTACTTGTCTTCCCTGTGCTTCATACCCATAGATTCCAGGAGGGGTTGTGCCTTTAGTAAGCGAAGGGTTGTTCTGGGGCAGGGCCATGAGGGCTGCTACTCTGGGCTTGGCATTTCCCAGAGCAGGGGACCTAGAAGCTCTTGGAGGGAAGTTTCAAGAACAAATTTGGTTTGTTCTCCTCAGAGGTTTCTGGCATTATTGTTATCTCCATGACTGTGCAGGTCACAAGTGACATCAGTGGCATCCCCAAAAGACAGGTTTCCTAACTGGTAGAAAAACCTGGAGCAAAATGATGACATTTATTCTCAAAGCTGGAGACTTTAATCCATGTTGATTTTATGTAATGTGACAGGTGTTGATACTTGAATCTGACTGAAAGACACGGGTAATGTGAAACGTGTTGATCCAGGGGCACGTCTCTCGGCTTCCTAGGTTAATATTTATCCTTATACTGGCTAATGGAATAAAACTGTTATTTTGAGTAATGTTCCCTGTGTTATTGTGTATGTCACCAAAGTGTTCATGTTGACCTATAAATTCAATTTCACAAAACTCACACTGGATTTAACAGAGGATCCTAGAATGTTGTCCTGATAAAATGGCACTTTAAATATATGGCACAGTTTTACTTAGGCAAGGCCAGGTCATGGAACAAGCAAAAATCAATAATTCATTCCCCAGGGTGCCTCTCTTGTTATCACCTCTCTCTCTCCCCACCCACCCCTTCCCAGGGAGTTAGCCAGCATTGCTCCTTCAGGGTGAAATCCGACAGTAGCCGGAAAAGAGCTCATAAATCTTGTGAATAATTTCCAGGCCATACCAAGGGGCAAATGTGGCTTTGATGTCATTCTTGCAGGGAAATTGGACTTTTCTTGGGGAAAAAAAAAACAAAACAAAAACAAGCCAAGAAACTTTACTTTCACTCTCTGAGCTCACAGATCAAAACATATCTTCTTTTCTTAGGTGAGCGCCCTGCACAAGGAAAAACCAAAAACTGACAGCTTGATGAATCCTCCCCACACCTGGGCAGTGAGTATGTAAGTTTCCCAATTTCATTCACTGAGCTCCTCATTAATATCTGTTTTGTTAGCCTGCTGCAGCTTAGAGTATTTTAGAAGATTTTTATAAGACAAAACGTTAATGGTTCGTCTCTAAAAACAAACACTAAAATGATTTGCCAGAGCAATGAATAGCTTGGGGCTGTAAAAATTCCTTGTCGCCCTGCGTCCCTCAGGAATGACACAGTTCCTGCCTGGTGGTATTTCCTTCTCATTGCAGCTTGCCTTTACCTGGGTCGCTACACACACACACACACACACACACAGTGGCAGTTAGACAGGGTTCCATCGCTATCGAAGACTCGTAGGACTCAAAACGACACTGCTTACAAATTTGTAGTTTATTGCAGGAAAGGTTATGATACAGCAGCTGCATTAATGTTAGGATGGGCATCAAAGCCAAAGGCTGCCTCAGGGCATGAAATCCAGAGAAGACAGCTTAGAGGTCCAGTTGTTCTTCCTCTGTAAGGACTATACCAGGGATGTACTTCCTTTCTGGGTCCAGGAACCATGGCTGTGTGCCCAGAGCACCTCAAACAAGGTGATACAAAATGCAGTCTCAACTTTATACCCAGCTGGTCATGTAGAAAGTTTCTTGGTTTATAACTAGCTGAGTGACAGAGCCCTCCAGGTGTTTCAATGAGACCATATGCAGATGGTCAAATTCACTGTAATAATAGTTAACCAATAAATAATTGAAACCTTTCAAAACTACGCTTATAGGCAACACTGTTGTTCTGCATACTCCATGCTTTGACCAGGACTCAGTGCAAAGCAGGTACATTTTTTATTTTATTAAATAGCTCAGGCCAATTTTAGGCTTGCTGGAATGATCTGTCCTAGCTCAGCATGGGATTATTTTCTACCTCCCTAGAACTGGATAAGATTTTCTTCTGAATAATTTAGGTTTCATAAGAAGTATTGATTAAGTGCCTTCATAATTGGTGTTTGATGCTTTTTGAACCTGCAGAAGAATTTGCCCTTTGGAAACTAATATTTTTTTAAAAGAACAAAAATATGTATATGCCCATAATTGGCCTGACCAAATGGTAGTCACTCTGGGTAGTGTCCAAGGGGAAGAACATCACTGTTGTGTCCTCTACCTGTGTCTCCTGACCAGCCACTAATACGATACTGTTACAGACGCTCTAATAAAAAACTCGTTTGTTCCTATATTTGTTGCAGGTCTTTAGGAAAAAATGGTTGATGCAATATTAATCATGAACATTATCTTACTCACATAAATCCTGATGTTTACCTACCTGATTGATGCTGCAAACTCTTGACTTTACTTGGAAGCTCACCTACAGGGGAGCGTGGTTCAGTTAAACAATAGCCTGGACCACTGTCAAAACAGCTACTAGTAAAAAAATAATTTTTATTAAATTTTGAAAGTCACTGAAATAAAACATTAGAGATATGTTAGCTCTGTCATTTTCATACATATTTGTGCTTATTTGTAATGCAAATGTGTTCTGTTGTCTTCTGAGATGAATTCTCTGGTGACAAGAAGTAGCAAAGATGATGTTGCTAAGGGAATTGATTTGCTGTTACACAGATCTTCTGCTAAGGCCAGAATTTCGATGCAAAAATGTGAGGCAGGCAAAGCACATTTCCTTTTCATCGATGCCAACACATGGGCTGAACAAACTGGGCAATAATGAGTGCAGAGGTGGGGACAGCAGCTGGTAATATCTCCATGGAGAAGATGTATACAGAACTAAATGCAAAAAAAGGGAAGAGACAATAGAAGAAAAATTAGGTAGGCTTTATGGGTCTGATTGAGTAAGGATTTTCACAACATAAAACAGGATAAGAAAATTCAATGAAAGAGATAGAAATTCTACTATATTTTATGACTTAAAACGTTCAGATATAAAAAAAAAATACCATGAACAGATCATTTATGGAGGAAGAAATAGAAATAACATAAAATTATATAGAGGATTCCTATACCACTACTAATAAAAAATGTGAATCAAGACCAAAGAGCGTATAACCTTCCATTTACTTGAGCTTTTTCATAATTTTTAAAAATCATACTGGTGAAGCAAATAGTTTCATATGTTGTATCTGAAGGTATAAATTAGATTAGTTATTGTACTGGGTTTCATGTCTATAAAACCAGGATAAAACAATCTCTTCTCCTAAGGCCAGTATGTTTTTTTGTTTATAAAATGTCGTCAATATTCGTTAAAAAATCTATCATGATATTTTATTATAAAAGTGATCTTTTATTCTTTGTAAGAATCACAAATTTATAAATTTTAAGTTGTGATTCAATGATTATAAAGTCTTGTATTATTATTATTAAGGCAGACACACTGAAATTTAGAGAGATTATAATACTAGAAAGAAAGCAAATTATTAACCAACAAAAAATTATTAATGAAGCAAAATATTTTTTCTTGGAAAAGATTATTAATAAGGAATACACTCTGTTAAAAACTTCAGTTTGTTTTTATATTGGTTGCTGATCTTTGGGGGGGGCGAGGAAAGGGGTCAGTAAAATAGTAACAATGAGCATTATCCTACTCACAGAAATCCAGATGTTTACCGAGCTGGTCTATGCTTGACTTCACTTGTAAACTCACCTGTAGTGGAGCATGGTTCAGTTGAACAAAAAGTGACAGAGAGCTTATTCCTTGCCAAGTACTAGGTCAGGTAAAGAGAGATAGGACATGGTTGGTGTCCTCAAGGAACTTACAGAAGTGAAGAGAAATAAATATAAGGATGGTCACTTTAATATAATATAGTAAAGAATAAGATAGTAGTATGTAAAGAGAGATATGGCACCTTGAAGTTTAACAGCATTTTTCTTTTTTGACGAGACTTGCAGAATAAGAAAATAAGTGACCTGGGTTTTTCTAGGCACAGGGAACAGCATGTACAAATGCAAAGAACTGTGAAACTGCATAGTGCATGAAATAAATGATAAGTAATTGGTTAGCCTAGAGCTGCGCTGTACACGTCCGCCGTTGGGTCAGTGAACCACTGACACTCTTGCACAACGAGATTAAGAACAGAAACTGAGTGTAAGCATTTAAAACACTGTAAGAGCCATCTGATACTGCTGTAGCATTCTATTCGTGTTATTGTGTGTTTTTTAAACGTTAGTTGACAGCTGATGGGAAAATAACAAAACCAAACCTGGTCCTTCCCCGTAGATCTAGGTTGCTTGTTCCGCGCGAGCAGGCCTGGGACAAGACGGCACCAGATCACGGGAGGTCCTGTTTACCACAGTAAATCATAAAGACGTCACAAGAGAATGAAATACCTTCTTTTTCTAAGCAGAGTAAAATCAGATACTTTCCTCTTTCATTAATGTCATCAAGAAGGCGTTCATTCGTTTTGGGAGATCTTCCAACCTTGCATGTAAAGCACACCCGGAAATCCGTCCAAAGTTTGGGGTGGGGGGGTCTGTTCCACAGTCGTCCTCACAACCCCTCTGCTCTGTCTAGAGCTCCACTGTGCTCCGGCATGTGCTGGCTCCCCTGTCAGCCGCAGGTGCTCTAGGAGAACATCAGAAACACCCTGTTCTACAGTCCTTCCCACAGGCTGAGACTTCACATACATCCTCTGGCCACTTTCTGCTCTTCAAACGGCCCCTCCCCAAACCATGTGGCCAGTGGCCAGCTTTCCTCCATGGAAAGCAAGAGTGCAGCCAACTCTACCAAAGACCCTGCCTCCGCCAACTATGCAATGAAAGAGTAGGGTGAGGGTCTCCACCCCAGCACCACTGCCCCCCTGCCCCCCCCCCTCCTCCCAGACTCTAGCGGGCCCCCAGCACCGCCATGCAGCAAACATCTAACCGTGCCAGATCAGACCCCTGCCCCTTCCCCACCTGAGACATACAAGCCTCCATCTCCTGCTCCGTATGGACCAACAGAGACAGTTGCTTCTGCTCTTCTAACAAGGAAACCCCAAAATAATCAGCCAAAGCCCTGGCTTTCCTCCCTGCGAAGGAGAAATGGAGAGTTGCCTGTTCATTCTTCTCTCTACTTATTAGGAGAAGAATGAAAGTTGCTAATAAATGTCTTAATTACTAACATCGTCACCCCAAGCAACAGACCTTGAATTATGTTCCATCGGCGATAGGGTACAGTTAAGAGCTTTAATCAGAAAAGGAATATGGTAAGATTTGTGCTTGAGACACGTGGCTGATGTTTACTCTGAAAGATTAATTCCAAAGGAGTGAGGCTGTAAGCAGGGAAGTCAAAAGACCATTGCAACATTCACTAGGAAAAGGACAGGACTTGACCACATCTGCAGGGACAGGGGAGATGGAGATGGAGAGACAGAATGAAATAGAGAAATGTCTGGAAAATAAGATTCTCCAGAGGCGGTCACTGACTGATTGGAAGGGGACAGTGGGGAACAAAGGAGACTAGAACTATAGACGATGTCCACACTGCTGTTGTGAGTGCCTGAGTGGATCACGAAGTTAACAGCAGCGAAGGTGGGAATTAGGGAGTGAGAGGGAACAGGTGTGGGAGGCAGTATAATGGTTTTCCTTTCAGACATGTTTAGTTTGAAGAGCTTTTGAGACATTGAAGTGACTCTACTGAGTGGAAAAAATTAATCTAGTCACAAATACAACCTCCCCCCATCCAACATCTCTACTTTTTTCACTTCCTTGGAATCTGAACTTTTCCTTTTTCCTACAGGCTTAATCTTCAGCTTCTATGCTCCAGGAGTAGAAAGAGAGAAAGCCCCATGGAATGAACCCTGACTTCCAATCCTGCTCGCCGACCTACACCATCACCTGTCCCGACAAAGTGATGTCCAGATGACATGCAATAATCTGATAGAATCAAAACAATCCTGGGTCTCCCCTGTCCCCTGAGACAGGAGAAAGCACATTTGTACATTTTATAGGAACATTTGCAGGAGAACAAATTTTAAGAAAGGTATTTGTGAGCAGTTAACCTGACAGCCCAGACATGAGGGTTCACTGGTGACATGACCTTCCCTCGAGTTTCAAGTTTCCAGAACCGACAGTTTTTATCCATGGAGACTTTCCTACTTTCTTAGTGTTCTTCTATGTTTGTATTTATTGTTTTCCACTATGTTAATGCAGGGAAAATTAGCAAGTGTATTATTAAATATTAGATAGAAATCATGATGTGCCACTTTGTACATAAAGATATTTTATTCATATTTTCATGTGTTACTTTTAATAAATATTTACTGTTTTCAGCCCATTAAAATATCATAATGTGACTGTGAAAATGATAAAGGTATTGTCTTCCCATAATGATGAAATGGTTGGGTTATTTGATTATCAGAACTCTATAATGAAAGGGACAAAGGATCCATGTATTAGATCCTGTTAGAGATAAGGCATACCATTTCTTTGGTCTTTCTATTTGTAATTCACACTATGTAACAAGGATGTAAGGGCATTTATAACACTCTGTACTGCATTCATTAAGAAGATAAACAGGATTGAGAGTTTTTCATAATCCTTTTGGTTAATACTCTGTGCATTTTTTATTTCTTTTAGAAATGTAATTGTTTGTTCTAGCAATCATTGTGAAATCTCCAGTTTGTAGAAATGAACACTTCATAAATACATAATTGTGATATTATTTTTCAGTGTATCCCTTTCCTACAAAAACCATAGGATTGTAGCTGCCACTCCTGCTGGAGCACATTCTGCTGCTGAGAGCTGAGAGAGCAACCTTGACCACTTACTTCTTGGACACATGCAATCAAAATGTCATGTTGGTTGAAGTTCTTCAGAGAAGCTTTGAAACTAATAAGCTGCCAGGGCAGGGGCAGCTCTTTAACTTTTATGACTACCCTAGGTGATTTCAATTTCAGATCATCTCAGCGATGTGAGGACAGTGTAGTAGAATCGGAACAGTGTATATAAAACAGCCTCTTCAATTTTTGTTGCAATATAGTAAAAAACATTCAGCTTTAATTATTGTATAAATAATCATCTTGATTTTAGCTTCCTTATGTCTGGACACCAAGACACCAACAAGCATATCTATATTTCTAACTGATGTCCATGTTTCTTTGGGAAGAAAGATAGGGAATCAGAGGGGAAAGGAAAGTAGGGGTGTAGAGAAAAGGGCAAGGATCTCAAATGAATACACTTTCCCATGAGAGATATGCTGTCCATGCTGAACTCCAACCTAACTGTCTTTCAAACTGTTGCGATGGGGGCTGGAGCACGCCAACCATGGGGCATTGGTCTCCAGAAGGAAAATATTCCAATACTCCTGGGATGCTTTACTGAGCTTCTCAGCAGAAGCCTTGTTATGCAGCATGTACTGCAGAGAAACAAACTCTTCTGCAATTTAAATTACGGCAAGTGATATGTTATGCTGATGTCTAGAAAAACCATTTTCTTGACTTTTCATAAGAATTGTTGTAAGAATTATAAAGTTCACAAGATGAACATAAAGAATGTGCTTTCCACTAGCAACTACAGCATTACATCTTTAAAAACTCACTGCTAAGAGGACTGAGGAATTCACAGATGTAAATGGCAATCTCAGGGGTTATGTCTGCATTTTTATAAATCAACTTAAACTTCTATTGGAATAGAGTATTTTGTTTCATGCCAGTATTATCATTAGATGTTTTTTTTTTTAATTATCTGATTTAAATTGTCTACTTTTTATGCCTCACTTGTTACAAGCTTTTTATTCTGGTATATAGTTCAAATGTCACTGCAGAGAAAGAATGGCTGTATTTCGATGAAAGGCAGGCTTTTCTGTGTGTTTACTCTGCGTGACAATTTGAATATAATTTACGTCTACCAATACTCAAAACATAAACAAGAGCTAATTAACTGGCACTGTTGTTATCTGAGAGTAAGAGGATATTGTTAGCTGATATCCTGGCTGGGATCAGCCGGCAGAGAAAGACTTCTAACTTCCCCTTGCTGAGCTGAAACATTCCATTACATTTCTGACAAATCTGTGTCTTATTTTTTCTCTACCTGACATACTTAAGTTCATGAGAATCAACTCCGGACATCAGAGAACCTTCAACACTGAACCTGCTAGATTTCTCTGATTTTTCTCTGTTGAGTTCTATTTATGATCATTCCAGTTTTTATGGGTCCTGAAAAGAAAACTGGGTATGTCCTTTTAAAGTTGTGTTTTGAGTAATGAGAGTCTCAAGACTATGAAATTGTTAATTTTGCCTAATATTAAAGATATCCATCATTGTGATTAATTAAATAATAGGTACCCTGAACTGAGAATCTGTGATGGATTATCCCAAGATCTTCCCTTAAAATCTTCCCCACAAACACAAACAAGACTTCTGAGGTTCATTAAATGAGTATACTTTGTCATTGCTTCAAGGGGATTTGTCCCATGGGCCTGAATATACCTATTTCCTATTCTGGATATTTTTTAAAGGAAACCCAGGCAAAGAATTACTGGGGAGTTGTATGCTAAAATTTCTGGATATTATACAGGGCAGACAGACATTCAAGGTCTGACCAACCATTCTGGAAAATCCTCAGTGGTCATTTTGATTAATGATCCCAGAAAAGTCACACCTTAGTAGTTGTGCTAAAATACTCTACAGGGATATATTTTGCAATATAGGTGCATACCTTGTACATTTAAAATTGAGAGAAATTAAAGAACACCAGATCATAAATTTAAAATATCAATATTATTAACATGTCAGTTCTACTTAAATTCATTTATAGACCTATCACAATTTCAGACCAAATCCAGTTTTTCTCTTTGTAGAAATCAATGATTCCAATGTTTGTATGGAAATAAAATGAACTTAGAATAGCTGAAACACTGTTTTTAACTGGAGGACTCACACTACTGGATTTAAAGACTTACTTTAAAGCTACAGTAATCAATACAGTTCAGTATTGACCTAAGAACATAATTTCATCAGTGGCTAAAATAGATATCAAACAGCAATTGTATGCTTCCCCCATATACATGTGTATATATGGTCAATTTACTTTTGACAAAGATCCCAGTGATTTGTGGGAAAGTACAGTCTTCTTGACAAATGGCTCTGAAACAATCGGATACATGTGCAGAAAAATGAAGCTCAACACTTCCTTCATACCACATGCAAAACCAACTTGAAATTCAGATCTATAATATTGGCTGTCTTTAGAATCAGTGAAAGTTTTCTAAATAAGACACAAAAGGCCAACTAAAGACAAATGATAAATCAAACTTCATCAAAATGACAAACGCTCTTCAAATGAGCACAGTAAACTAAAGATGCGAGACAAAGGATAGAAGAAAACATTTATATTATATATGATTCTGACAAGTGACTTGCATATAGGACATGTGAGAAACTAATAAATAAAACACTAAAAATGAGAATTCACTAAAAAGCAAAAAAAAAAAATTTGAAAAGACAATTCAGTAAAGAAGATATATGATTTTCCAATAAGCACATGAAATAATACTCAGTATCATTTAGTCATCAGGAAATCATAAATTAAATGAAACTTCACTACATATCCACAGGAATGGCTAAAATTATAGAGGTCAATAATATCAATAGTTTGTGGGAATATGGAGGAACTAGGACTCTCATACATTGCTAATTAGAATGTAAAATCATACAACCATTTGGAAAACAATTTAGTAGATTCTTTTTGAAAAAAGTTTAAAAATTTCAATGCATGCTTCTCATATGACACAGTATCTCCACTTTTATGGGTTTACCCAAGAGAAATAAAAATATATGTCTTAGCTATACGAATACCTACAAGCAAATGTTCATAGTAATTCTATTTATAATAGCCAAAAGCTATAAACAATAAACAAATTGTGGTATAGTCATAAAATGGAATAGCACTCAGCAATAAAATGGAAAAAACTAACAATACACCCAATAAAACGGATGAATCTCAAGGACACTATACATTACGCTGTAAAAAAGAAGCCGGACATAGTGGAGTGCATACTTTATTACTCCATTTATATAAAACACTAGGAAAAAAATCAGACCAGAGGCTGTCTTGAGCCAGAGATGAAGGGGAAGTGCCAGGAAAGAAGCATAAGGGAATTTTTTAAGATGATGACAATTTCTGTAGTTTGATTATGGTGTTGCTTACATGGGTATACAGATTTGCCTACACTCAAGCCAAATACTGAATGTGGGTATATTTTTATTTGTAAACTATACCTTAATAAAGTTGACCTTTAAAAATATTTTATAAGCTTTTTTTTTTTTGAGGAGGGGTTATATTACTAACTTTCTTTTATGGGCTGAATTGTGCTTCACTCCCTCAATTCATATGTTGAATTCCTAACCCCCCAATACCTCCTCCCAAGGTAACTAAGTTTGGGGATAGGGTCTTTAAAGTGCTAAATAATATTAGATTAGGTCATTAGGATGGGCACTAATCTAATATCACTGGCTGGCATCCTTATCAGCAGAGGATAAAGACGACCGTCTGCAAGCCAAAGAAAGAGGCCTCGGGATGAAGCGGACCTTGCCACCTTACGGTTGAATTCCCTGCCTTCAGAACTGTGGCAAAATAAAATCTTGATGTTTAGGCTACTCAGCCTGTGATACTTTGTTAGAGTACCCCTAGTACTCTACAGGGTTCCTGAGATAATTAAATGAGATTATGATGTATTGGGGACACAAGAAATTAACTTTTTTCTTCCTTGATTATCGCCATGACAATGAGGGTTAAAACTACTTGTATTTACCTTCGAGATTAATTGGCAAGCCTGCGATCCCTTTCCAACACCTGGGAGCATTTCTAAACCGTTCTATTCTACCACTAGATTAGAATCTTTTGTGTTTCTAAGCATTATAATTCTAGTGCCACCTGGTAATATAAATGAGCTTTCAGCAAGGTTAATATTTGTTTGATGAGATGTTAAAATGTTGAAATGTTTCAGAACTATTGATAAATCGCTGCTACCCTGAGCTTCCTCCCTCCCCCCCCACCCCCCACCCCCCCACCCCCCCACCCAGCCCTCCTGCCCTGGGACCGCAGCTCTTTCTAGGATCCGGCATCTAAATCCTTAATGCCTGGCAAAGGTGAAACCATCTGTTTCATTTTATCTTTTCTTTTTACTCTTTGACTTTTTTTCTTTTTCTAATTTAATTAAACGTATGAGGGTGATATCGATTCATAAGA